CAGGGGGTCCGTTACCCTCCCAGTCCAACGCAGGAGGGCAGAGGACTCGAAAAGACAGCTTTAAAATCCCGAGGTGGGTCTAAAGAACAAATAAAACTACGTTCGAGTGAAAATAAAGGCACGCTACAAAAGGTTTAGCTAACCAGGTGCACCAGCACAGTTCATTAAAAATGCTCCGTCGCAGCAGGTGTTACTGATTTATATGAGGTCGCTCCATATAGAGCTATTTATATAGAGTGTCTGTAAAGCCAGCTCGTTTTCTGCGTTAATTTAAAGCGTAGATGTCGCTGGATCTCGCGTGAAATCACCGCAGGTTTTGCCCCGTGTGAATACCTGCCTGCTCCACAACCACGCCGTCACGAGCAAACGCAGGCTGTGCGCTGATGCCAGTGGAAATATAAGGTGTCTTTGAAGGTTCCCTCTATGGTCATAGCTACAATTCAAATCTTGCTTTGGAAGTTAATGAAAAGCAAGTTCTTTGATCTCAGTAGGCAGCGGGATTGATGAAGAATGTTGAAAATATAGTAATGTCCTGGCAAGAAGACTACAAAACACAAGTCCTATTTTGGGGCATTCTTACCGTCAATAGTCTCATCCAACGGGGTTCTGGGTGCCCAGACTGTCACAAATTCACCCCAAATTCAGAGTCCTAATGATTTCTTTTTTGCACTCCCATTGGCTTCCAAGGGAAACGCATCTCTGCTTTCATTGTGTGTGATGCCCGAAAGGAGGGTTGGGCTTCTATAGATTTTTGAGAAAAGAAAGTACATTTATTTAATTTATCATGTTGTTCTACATTCATATACAAAGTACGCTGGCAGAGTAGAAAGAGTGGTCCCAAATTTTCCACGAACATAGTCTCAGTGCTTCAAGCAAAGGTAAAGTTGATATTACGGCTCTTGACTAAAGGATTTACAGCTTTTTACACTGCCCCAAAGTGGAAATGGTGATGCCCAGTGTCTCCTTTCCTACAGCCTTCCCACTGCTCTAACAACCCGTATTTGCACATCATAGCTTCTAACTGAGGCTTCACAAGGAGACATTTGACACCTGACCTTTAAAAACCTTTCAGGGTTGTAAAATGTACCATTGCAAATGAAGTGCTGCCGTTGTCCTACTGTCTTTGAGAAACTATGATCAACCCCGACTATATAGTGAATGGTGGTGGTGGTGTTTACATTCCCACACAACCAAAGGCAATGCTGTTTCGAGGTTTTGCACGCCAAGTTCCTGACCGAGTCAGGTGTCTCATGGAAGGGATTTTCCAGTTCTCCTTCCACCTCAAGCTGTGATCTTGTCAGATTTTATAAGCAAAACAGCCAGGTCTGGTCAGCGCTTGGATGGGAAACCTCCAAGGAAAACTGAAGTGCTCCAGGAAGCGGTGTGGGTAATTCAGCTCCTGGCATTCTTCCCTCCCTCTGAATAAATATTGAACCAACCTCTAACCATCCTGTTGCAGTAAGAAACGTTGTGCTGCTGGTGGAAGATGCAAATCCAAAGGTGTCAGCAAATAGGGTCACCGGAGAGCTCAAGGCACCGTTCGCAAATGTAAGGGTGCTCATCTTTGCGCTCTTGAGCAATATTTGTGTTACATCTGCTTAAAAAATCTTTCACTGGTTAAGTTAAACAGCGTACCCTCTGAACTGTTACTCGCTGTGTTTCCCATCAAAACTGTGCAATTTTTTAGCTGAAAAGTAAAAGTGGATTTTTTTGACCAAACTTTAAAAGTTCATATTTATTTTGTTTTCTGTTTTCTGATTTTTTACAGAAAGGTCTTGAAAGGTATCTAATGTTCCAAGAAAATATAGTGGCTGATCAAAACTGGAAAGGAAAAACAGAAAAACAAAATACCCCAAGCCTGAAAACCTTTGGAATAAAACAACTTGAAAATCAGGACTACATCTCCCAGTACATGAGGAGCCAGAATCCTCCGGATGTGTGGCAGTGGCTCAGCACAGAGGAGAATGGGAAACACCACGGGAGATGTTTGCCAGCCAAGAAATCTGCAATTCCCGTGACTCACAGCATTTCCAAACGGAAACATTCAGTCTTTTTTCCCTGCCAGAAATCGACATCTTTTTCAGGCGAAAATAACCAGTTTTCTCCCCCGCTGCACCGTTGATTATGGTGTTGATTTGAGAAAGGAGCAGCCTTCCACCCCCAGGATTTTTTGCACGTTGCAGGTGGATTTTGCGCAGCTGAAGAAGAATCACAGAAACCACAGCTGCTGGTGGATTTTCCCATCTCCCCAAGGAATCGCATCCTCCAAGCAGCGCTTCCTTCAGCGTCGGCACCTCGAAGGCTGCGAGGAGTGTGAACGGCGGGTTTTGATGAAATATATGGAACAAAAAAGGGATGTTTTATACAATAGATGCAAATCCATGACTGATTTGCCGCAGGTTAAGTATAACTGATGATGCTGACAGGCAGCACTCACCGGCCTAGATCTACAACTTCTTAAAAGGAGGGTGTAGCAAGGGAGCGTCGGTCTCTTCTCCCCAGTAACAAGCGATAGGACAAGAGGAAACGGCCTCAAGTTGTGCCAGGGGAGGTTTAGGATAGATATTATGAAAAACTTCTTCACCGAAAGGGTTGTGAAGCACTGGCACAGGCTGCCCAGGGAAGTGGTGGAGTCGCCATCCCTGGAGGTGTTTAAAAGGCGTGTAGATGTGGCGATTAGGGATGCAGATTAGTGGTGGACTTGGCGGTGTTACGTTTATGGTTGGACTTGGTGCTCTTAAGGGTCTTTTCCAACCTAAATGATTCCATGATTCTATTCTATGATTGAATGATGGGGACTGGGAGGGAAACATCAAGACACACTCACACAGCTTAAAGCTTCGCTTCGCTCATTTGTTGTATCAAGAGAATAATAACGTAGGACTAGATGGAGTGACCTTCACGTATCCCAAGGTCAAAATCTAATGAGTTGTTTCCAAAACCCTTCTGTAACAGAGATACTTTTCTTAGACTTGGTGTTTCCCATGGAGCTCATCGGTAACTGGCAGCAGAGAGACTCGAATTCCAGCCTCAGCATTCACTGCCTGGCTTTGGGAAAACCCCGTTGTCTCTCCCCATCCTCATCTGTTGTCCCTCAACTGCGCCACCTTCACAAGGGACACCACCTTCACACACACAGCTGCTGCAGAGCCAGACGCCAGCACTTTGCTAAAGCTCCTTGAAGTCTCCAGACTAAAGGAGTGACAAAAGAGTCAGCTAGATTTCTGTGTTGAAGATGATTTTTTTTTTATTGCAAATGTACACATTACACTACTGATAATGCACAGAAATTTAAAAAGTTATCGTTTGCTAAAATTTCGTGATTACAAAACTTCACAAAATCTGTTGCAACTAAAAAACCCGCCTTCAGGAGTATATAAATAGAAATTTGAGCATAAATAACAGTAACAAAATAAACAGATGTATGTATTCAATAAATTAATTATAAATATTGCATTGGCAATGAAGTGCTAGGTCAGAAGAACACCAGTATTTCCAGGCAAGCTTTTTTTTGTATAGAAATCTCTATTATAAATGAACCTTTGGAAACGAGTAGAATCCCTGAACCCTTTTTTCACATTTTTTTTTTCCTTTTTTTCTTTGGTTTCACCTTGGTTATTCCTTCATCAAATCGTTAGAACGGGAGAACAGAACTGAAGACATCAGACATCTGTGTTTTGGCCACGAAGTACTCATAATCCCTTCCTGCAAGAACAACAGTGTGGCTGACCCCAATTTTGCAGCATTTAAGTCACTAAACTCTCTCTCCACTGATTCCCACGGGTGCAGAATCAAGCCTGGAAGGGACTTGAAAGAATTGCTGATGGTTAAAGGTTACACAAAAACCTATTTTGCAATTGATTTGACCTATACATCATCCATTTTCAGTCTTTCTCTCCATTTGCTAATGACGTGCATGCTTATATACAACAGAACCTTTACTTAAACACTCATTTGAACTGCTCATTCCCTACCTGACGAACATAAATGCTAGTTCTGTGCGCTCTTCCAACCACGCACTGAATTCTCACTAAGGTCAATGAGAACTCTGCTGGATGATGCTGATCCCACAGCCAACATAAATTAGCCTTGAAAAAAATCAAAGATCCGGTTTTCCAAAGTACCCTTTAGCAATAAGGGAAGGAAGTAGTTTTTCCTTCCCTGATTTCCTAAGGGAAGAAAAAGCACAATATACAAGCAGAATTGTTTTTTTCAGTGGTATGCTTTCAATAGAAAGATTTCCCAGAACGTTGTCAGCAGCTTTTCAAGAAACAGCATTAACTCTAGTTTGCGTAACCGCATTTGCTACGTCTTCCTTAATCGTGTTGTGTTCCAAATGTTTGTCTTTAAGGCCTCTGAAGCTATGAGATCATTAACCTCCCTGTGACTGGAAAAAAGGCTTTCTGCATTTGCTCCTACGAGCAGAAATAACAGGTGAACACACATGGTAATGAAGTTGATATAGAAAAATTGTAATTAGTTTATCATCACCACGGTAATGGAGGAACCCTGATGAAGCTGTTAAGCTTTTCTTATTTAATCCTTTTCCAAATAAAACTATGGGTAAGCAATTCTTTAGACTCTAGAATAGCCTCTGGGCACTCATCTCTTACAGGTACAACACATGGCAAGGAAAAGGCTGGCTCTGTACTGAAATATACAAAAAAAGTTCGAAATATCACTACATGAAAAGCTAAAAACCCTGCAGTATTCTGCATTATTTCTTAAAAAACGTGTGTGTGTGATCAGAGTCATTTCTGGAAGCTGGGGCTCTTCACCGGTGACAGTTTGGAGGTGATGCCAAAGGGGTCCATGCTGTCCGTTTCGAGAGGCGAGGAGTACACCTCCGGTTCAAACGCCTGGCTGTAATCGCCGTATTCGCCAAAGTCTGTTGACTCCACGGGCACAGTGTTGATCATAGGTAAGAAGTGAGAGAGCGGAAGAAAATCTTTGCCTTTGAACTGTTGTCTTTGCTTGGCACTACTCAAAGACACGGATATTCCGTATTTTTTTGATTTATATACATTGTAGCCGTCTGGACGAATCTCCTCTTCAAAGGAACAATCCTCAGTGGAATACCTGAGCTGAACAGCAAAGAGGAACGAGAATTACAAATACGCCCACCAGACTCACTGTATTCAACCACAACGTAAACCTCGGATGCAACCGGCCCTTTTCCCTCTGCTGGCAGTGGGGGTGTCCCTCTGGCTTGTCGTGGGGGTCCCAATTCAGTGCACCTTGCAGACCCTGCTGCCAGGTCCGTGCTGGTGAGCTGCCCGCTGCCTCTCTGCCTGGCTGCTGCAGGGACGCAGGTGGCACCCATTGCTCCAGTGACCGCTCTTTCAGCAATGGACCACAGCCACCGAGATGAAGTGCCCTCAAGTGGCCAGGCAGTTGGACTAGATCATTGCAGGTCCCTTCCAAACGAAAGTATTCTATTCTATTCTATTCTATTCTATTCTATTCTATTCTATTCTATTCTATTCTATTCCATTCCATTCCATTCCATCCCTATCCCTATCCCTATCCCTATCCCTATCCCTATCCCTATCCCTATTCGACTAGAGATCCTTGTGTTGCACATAATATGCATTTTGGGTTATGAGGCCATTAAAAGACCTAATCCAGAACTCCTGAAGTTAATGCACGTCCATCATATTAAATAAGCTTTGAATCCCGGTTGCGTACCTCTCCACAGCTACCACCGCCTATCCTGTCCCGAGCACAAGGAAAAAGAATCTCAGATGACAGTGGTCATTTAAATAAATTGTCCTTAATTGCTGACAGTACTTAACTGTAGTCATGAGACCTAATCCAACAATCCTCAGGTATAAAACGCCATGCCTATCAGTGGTTTGCCTGTGTTAAGGGCTTCGAGATGGGGTCTGTAGAAAGGCAGTGCTGTCAAAGACAGTACTTTGGCAAACATGGCCAATCAGTGAAATGATACTAAAAACATAATTGCCTTTTTTTTCACTCAGCATTTGCTGAAATTACAAAAGACCAGTTAACACAGTGTTATTTGCTCACTGGGCATTAGTTACAACTGTCAAATTAATAAGAGTGCAAGTTAAGATTTTGGGTAGAAGAATGTATTTTCTTAGGTACGAATTTGTAGAAATAGATTTCTAATATACTGTACAGGTAGTGTATTAGGAGTTTGCATCACCAGGTCAGACCTTTCCAGATCCTTACACAAGCACTGCATTTCCTACAATTCCAGTGCTATTTCAGGCTCAGCCACTGCAGGTGATTGAACTCACGGTCAATAAAAGACAATTGCTGATTATGTCTCAGTCTGCAGTGATAAAAGTGTCCTCACATGAATGCTCTGCCTGTCTGAATAGAGCATGTTTAATAGTCTTCAGTCCTTTCTCAAACACCCTTAACAATATGGAGTATGACTAAGTGCAAACATTTGGTTGTCTTTTAAAAGCACTTTTTAAACTAATCACTAATTTTATAAAACACATTTTCTCCAAATAAAATTGCACAAAATTTATCCTTCTAGACACATTATATTTCAGAAAAATATGTCTATGATACAAATTTATGCCTGAAT